GAGAGAAAAAGGAAAGGTTCAAGGGGAAGTAACAAGTCCAGAACTGGGCCCTTCTAGCCAGGAAGACTGGAAGTCTTGAGGAATTATGAGAGGGGATATAGGTGGATCAAAGGCTTAGCTGTCATGCTCTCATCCTTGTTCACACGTTTCTTCCAGGGGTGAACTTTAGTGGAGCAGTGAAGGGGAGAAGGGACTTAGAAGCAACCACGTAGAAGTGCCTGAAAAGGTCTGACACTGAGACTAGCGGTCCAGCTTCAGGACAATATGAACTCTTTGGAGAACTCCAGCGTTCCGTGTAGGTCCACGTCCATTCTGACCCTAAAAAGATGGCGGGAAAGCAGCTACAGAAAGTGCACGGTCTTCATGGTCTTTGTATGAAATGGGAAGGAAGGGCACGGAGTTTTTGAGTATACGTTGGACCAATGTAGTCAAGAGGCTACAGTCTTCAAGGATATCAAAGTTGGAGGCCAATGACCAGGATCTCCCAAAGGACAACCAGTCCACCTGAGGATACCCTCTCCCTTCATGAGGTCATATAAGCAGCACTTCTACCCTTAACTGAGATGTACCTGGTATACACTGGCCTGGCCACACTGGTTATTTATGGCCAACGTCTCTTCTAATTGATACTGGTTGTTAAATATTACTATTTTTAATATTTCTTCTATACATATCTGACATTTCTAGCAACCATATTAGAAGGAAAGTCATAACTTTTAAAGATAGAGAATTTTATCCAAAGGGAATGGGCATTTACTTAAAGAGATTGCTAAATATTTGGATCAGACTACACATATTAGGTTGGACTAAAATTGCCCTTCCCTTTGTCACTAACTAAGGTGGAGAACCTGCAAGGGGGATCAGATCTATTAACTGTATATAAACAAACTATATTATTTCTGTATGCAGTTAAATGAATTTGTAACTTTGTATCAAACTCTAGCACAGGATACTTGATACTGGAAAGATCTGGGAACTCCCCTTAGCACTTAAATTAATTAGCATTCTAAATTCCACCCGGGCAGGGATTTTGTCTGTCTGGTTCACTGCTGTACCTCCAGCGCTCAGAACAAGTGTCTGGCACATGGTAGGTGCTTGAAAGATATTTACTGAAGGGATTACAACTAATACATTGGGGAGACTTGTAAAGTGCCCCCTTAGAATTCCAATGTATCCCTGGTGTCATCCATCATAATCCGTACTTGTCAGCTCCAAAAATATTATGTTCCATTTTGGGCACCAAAATTTAAGAGGTACATTCATCATTAAACTAGAAAGGATCCAGAAGGGAGCAGGCAGGACAAACGAATTCTGAAAATTGCCCCAAATAAGGAACAGTTGACAGTACTTCAGAAAAAATTATTATGAAAGATATGATGCTATTTCCAAATGTTAGAAAGACCTTTATCAAGGATGCATCTGAAATAAATGTATAATTGCATGTTCATAATTAGACCCAATGGGATGAAATTATGGGGGTGCAAATTTTTGGCTCAGTGTAACGAAGAAACTTCTGACTCTAATTTTCAAATAATGGAATGGATGGTTTTGTGAACTATGATGTGATAGTTAATTATATATTAATTGTATACTGTCAAACTAAAAAAAGGATCATATTTACAAAAGTATTCTAGAACTTCATCAGTTTTGCCTAGGGCCTCTCTTCATCCTTTGATATTTCAATGACTAGTTATTATATTAGTAATAATATGAAGCAATATTATTTGCTCTTATGTTCTGAATGACTTTTATTATGATATTGGATCAGAAAACTTATCTTCCTCAGAAAATAGTAAACATTTTATTTTGTGATTCTATGAATTATACGGTTGTTGCCCATCCAAATGTTGTTAAATATTAAATGAAAAAAAATCTCCTCCATAATTTTGCTTTCATTTTTGAAGTTGAATTTTAAAAGATTTTCCCTTCTGCCCTAGCCAGGTAGGTCAGTTTATTGCAGTGTTGTCCTGTACACCAAAAGGCTGGGGGCTTGATCCCCAGCCAGAGCACATGCCTAAGTTGTGTGCTTGATTCCCAGTCAGGCTGCAACCAGTTGATGTTTCTCTCTCACACTCACATTTCTCTCTGTCTGTCTGCCTCTCAAATCAGTAAACATATCCTTGGGTGAGGATTAAAAACAAAGAGTCAGTCTTAGTGGCCTTTGCACTGGTGATCCTCCAATAATGCAAAATTCTTAGATCTCTCTTTTTCCTGTACTGGGAATATTTTTCTTTTGTTAGTTTTGTCAAAAATGAACAAAACATATCAATAAGTGCTATATGTCTACTTGGGTTACCCATGTGGACTTCAAAGGAACAGTATCTTATTTGCTACCAAGCATGTGCTAAGGACATTGTAAATAATCAATGAACAATTTATCCATTCTCTATTCATGTATTCATTTGGGCCAGGCACTGAGAACATGAGGATGATTTGCTTCTTTACTTCATGAAATCTATAATTCTGTAGTTATTGTAAGAAATTATTCTTACTAATATGTTCAGTATTTTTATTATAAATGTAATATTTGCTCATTGTAGATGAATTCACAAAATAAGAAAGAGATAAAGATGAAATCAGATGTAGTCTTACCACTAGGAGATAAAAGCTGATGATATTTGGTAATAGATGCTTACAGACTTTTATTCCTATATGTCCATACAAAAATATATTAATATATTTATACATTATATATAGATGTTTTAAAAAGATATTTATACTACATATACTATTTTATAAATTTCCAAATTTTAAAATAAACATAGATAGACCTAATCATAATGACTGACTGAGGGTATTTTATTATATGTATATGCCATAATTTGTTTATCAAATTTTTGATTGTTGGTCATTTCGATTGCTTCTAATTTTTCTCTTACTATTAATTAACAATGTAATCATCCACACATACATGTTTATTCACTTATCCATTTTTTTAGGACAAGTATTTTGTACTATGTTAAACTTGAAATTTTATCTTCTTGAAGATTTTAAAATTAAGAATATTAACAAAATATTTTACACATTGAAAAAAACAAGCAAAGCTAATCTGCACTGGTTGATGTTAAGATAATGGTTGTCCCTGGACGTCAGGTGTGTATTTTGATTGGAAGGGGACATGAAGGGGGTTTTAAGAACACTTGAACAGGAGCCCCCTCTTATCAGAAGTTTCACTTTCGGTGGTTTTAGTTATACGCTGTCAGTAGCGGTCTAAAAATATTAAATGTAAAATTCCAGAAGTAAACCTTTCGTACGTTTTGCAGCGCTCCCATTCGGAGCAGCCTGCTGAAACCTCTCACCGTCCGGTGCCATCGGGCCGAGGGCGCGGCTCTCCTTTGGTCCTGAGTAGTCACACCGTGTGGGAGCTCCACCCGTTAAACGCTTAGGAGCCCCTCTCAGTTACCAGATATTTTGAGAGAGAGAGAGACCACATTTATATAACTTTTAGTGCAGTATATTGTTACAATTGTTCTATTTATTATTAGTTATTGTTCTTAATATCTCACTGCACCTTATTTATAAATTGAAGTTTATCAAAAGTATGTATGTATAGGAAAAAACCAAGTTTATATAGTGTTTGGTACTATCCTCAGTTTCAGGCATCCACTGGGAGTCTTGGGATATATCCCCCAAAGACGGGGGTGGGGGGGTGGGGGGGGGGGTGGAGAGCATGCTATGAAGTTTGGTTACACAGGTGTGTTCACTTTGTAAAAATGCAACAAGCTATAGACTTGACTTGTCGTTTTCCACTTTCTTGTATTTATGTTACACGTCAATGAAGTAAGTTAAAAATTATATTTCGATTTGCATCCATATTTTATGTCCTTTGGTAAATTCTAAGAATTAAATACTATTATAATTTTAATATTTAAAAAAAATTATGTTGCTAATTATTGTACAGAAAGTTTGTACCAGTTTTGACTCTCATGAACAATACAGAAAGTGTGACTTTTTGCATTCAAATGAATACTTACTATCATCATTTTTCTAATTTTAATGATTTATAAATTTTTAAAATTGAATTTTCCTAACTTTTCCTAAACTTTCCTAACATTTTACTGGGAAAAATATTTCAAGCTTAGAAGAAAGCTAAAAGAATAATATAACAGATGCCCCTAGACCCTTCATTAGATTTGCCAACTTTTAACTTTTTGCCAAATTTGCTTTCTTTCTGTTTCTATTCACACACATACATAAACACGCACACACATACATATATGTGTACCTATAAATTTAGTTTTATATTTCTGAACTATTTGTAAAGAAGCTTTAGACATCATGACAACTTATTGCTAATGTATCAGCTAAAAATAAGAATCTTCTTTTACATAACCACATATGTTACCATACCTTTAAAAATGAACAATAATTTCATAGTATCAAGTAATATGTAGTCCATATTTATATTTCCACAATCGTCTCAATATGGTCTTTTCTAACTGATTAAAAACATATCTACGATTAAATAAAGCTCATTCGCTCAGTGAAGTTAGCTGTTTGGTCTCTTCGGTCTTTCTTTACCTAAGTCTCCTGCCACCATCATCCCGCCGCACTTTTTTTCATGACATTGAAATTTTTCAAGTCCAGATCACTTGAAAACCTGCTTGTTTTCAAATGTGTGACCATGCTTGATTTTGCAGACTTGTATTATAAAACTACTGTAGGTTTTCAGAAGCACACCTATCAGCAACTGTTACAAATTTTTATTTGGGGCTATTGGTTAAACAGAGCAAGATCTCCAGTTGGACACCAGATGTTTTTACTGAGGGGAAAAAGAAGCATTAAGAGCCTTTAAATCTTGCGCGATTACTTTGATCATATCATAGTGACGTTTCATTCTCTGAAATATATTGTGAGGGTTTTCCTTCATATTATTCAATGAATCAATTAGTATAGAGCCAGGTTTAAAGACTTGAAAATGCAGCGACAGCCGAGAAGGATATTTTGAAGTTTGAACTGATCCCTATATAAATAGAACGGATCAGCATAACTTCGGGATAAAATTAGCCGACACTTTGTGGGCTCTCCGGCATGTGCCTGTTTGCTTGGTGCCGCTCTCCTGATAAATCACAACAAAGCTTTCGGAGGAAGAGGAAGGATGGACGGCACTGCTGCCCCTGTCACTAAATCTGCAGCTGCTAAGCTGGTCAAGAGAAATTTCCTTGAGGCCCTAAAGACAAATGACTTTGGAAAATTGAAGACCATTTTAATCCAAAGGCAAATAGATGTGGACACAGTTTTTGAAGTTGAAGATGAGAATATGGTTTTGGCATCTTATAAACAAGGTAAAAATTATCAATGTAATTGGTAAATTGACAGAAAATGGATTTTTTTTAGTGCACAGCATCATTCATCCACTCTAAATCAATAACTCTTGCTTCTTTCAGTATGTATTCTTAAAATATTTCTAATTTAATCCTCTTTCTTTTGAAACTAGATCACAACATAGGTTGATATATATTTTTCTTTTCTTTCCTTTTCTTTTCTTCTCTCTTTTTTTCCTTTCTCTATCCATGTACCTGAAATTTGAAATTCTGGCCAGTTGTATTTAGTAATGCACTTTCCTTCTATTTCTCTTTTCTTCTGCCATTAATGACATAGAATAAAGAAAACATCTTTAGGTTATGGCTGAAGAGGCTGCTCAGATCTAAGCCAAATGGTATGACTGGCTTGGGACACGGGGCTATAACTCTCTGTTAACACAGCCACTTAAAGATATATCGTCTCTATGTTCATCTGTATCAACAAGAGGATTTTTGCCCCCATTTAGAGAGTTAATGAATGGGTAAGGCTGCGCCTTGGTGCACCTCAATGGATCTCATCATTTTAATGAGTTTTCTGTTTAAGCAGGAAAGCTCAAACTAGAAAAAAACAAAAAGTTAACTCTTTTCCCTTGAATAATAGATCAAAATTGTAGATATTCTTAACACAGATTATTTGCCTTATGAAGAACTAAGGATAACAACGAATCAGAATGTTGTTGTTGTTGTTGTTGTTTTTAATCAAGGGATTTTCTGGAACGCATGCTTAATGAATCAGAAATAAATTAGAGTGCAGATTCTGATTTCCCAAATCAGCTAGTTAATGGGGAACTTGAGTAGCGAGGCCATCTGGTGAGCGGACTGCAAACAAACACCATGTTCAACATCACTCCTGTTTAAACAAAATAGATGATAAGATCGTATGTGTGTGGCATTAAAGAGAAACAGCAATTCTTCTCTTTTTTTCATATTTAAAATACTTTCCATTCATATATAAATCATCAACACCATTGATTTTCAGCAACTAATGCTAAGGTTGCATTATATTTCTACATTAATTTACTATACTCCGATTGTGAGTTCTGAAAAATAGCATTGCTGAGTCCAGGTACTGTGTTTATAATCTTTACCTGAAGGCTTATAAATTAGCATTGCTATTTTGACTGGAAGAAAGAAGAGGTCTATTTTTTAAAAAGTAGTTGATAGGGGGTTTTGTTAAAAAGAGTGAGTACTCTAAAATCAGGTTAATTTCATCGCATGGATTTGTTCAGTCTGAGCACTGACTACATTATTAAGTTTTTATTTAAACCTATAGTTGTGCCCAATGTGAAAGAACTCAGGTTCAAGGCAGGGGGTAATTTGTTCGACCCTGGGCTGTGAAGTCGGCCCTTCCTCATCTCGGGAGCACGCGGAAGTTGGGAGGTGGTAAGGAAGGAAGTTTTAGGGGCAAGCTCCAGGGAAGATAGTGTTGTTTCCCTCGCTTCCAAAGGTATCATCACCCCTGAAAGAGAAGAAAAGGCATTTTCAGTTCTTTCTGTCAATAGGAGATGATGCTCGTGGGCCACACGGAGCTAAATTTTCATTCATGCTAATGAGTGTTTTCGCAGTGTTAGGGCTATGGGGTGTGGTTTTCAATTCGGGAGGCAGCAAATTGCACCCTCTGGGAAAGGAAAGGAACAGTGCCATTCTTAGGCATGCCAGGTGGATATACGCACAGAAATAATAATATTTCCGGTCATATCTTCAGGGTTTATGCAGGAAATTGTATGTATCTGTGTGTGAGTGAACATGTATGCATAGTTTCCTTGAACTTTTTCACATGTCTTCCAGTCTAATTATCAAATCTTTTAATATTTCAGTCAGGGTAGAAGTGATAAATACAATCCTAGCTGCTAGTCAAGCAAAAGAGCCCTTTGTGGTTGTATCAAAGTCACAAAGAAATTCCTGGGGAACAGCTGAGTAGGCTACACTGGCCAGTTAGTTAGTGCGAGTTATTTCCTTTCAAAGGAATGAGTCCCTTTTGTGTTTGTGGCCTTGAAAGGTGTGTGGCTGGATTAAACTTTGGGAGACTTTATTAAATCACAGCAGACCTCTTGGATGTCGAATTGTTATGCACTAGTTTTTGACTTTTTAAAGCACTTTGAAAAGCTCTATACAGAAAAAGTATGTATATCATAAGTGTACAGCTTGATAGATTTTCACAAAATAAACAAACCTATGTAACCAGCATCCAGATGAGGAAACAGAACAATACCTGTTTATTTGTAAACTGAAACAAGAATCTTCCTTCAGGTTTCAGTTATTTTTGGCTTAATCAGTACGACAATGTGTAAAACCTGTAACAGATACCATCTGCCTTTAAATTTACTTGTATAATTAATAAATAATCTATATTCAACATGTGATTGTTCTGTGGGAAATCAACAGTGGCGTGATTAATCCCAAACCATTTTTATTTCTTTTAGGATATATCATAGAACTTTTCACAGGATTTCTAAGAGTGACCACATTTCTCCCCTAAAGACAGTATATCTAAGCCAGAATGAAAGTTAGTTTCTAATTTTTGGAAGGCCAACTCAGAATTCTATTGGCAAAGAAATAAACTTGGTATCTAAACGTTGCTCCCCCAAATTCACAGTCTAATTGGTACACAGGAATCAAAGTTGACCTCCTAAGCAAACATAAAACATGGAAGGTAAAACAAAGCATCTGAAAACATGCTTCTGCTTCCCCATCTCACTGAGTAGCTTCTCTTGCACATGTGATAGACAACAGATTTTAGAAGCCAGCTCCCAGCACTCATGTTCAAACTGTGGTCCTGCCTAGCCCCAGCACCTAATAAAGATTCTTAAAGCTAGATCTTGTTTTATTTTTTCAAATTACTTTAAGCTTCAGAATCAACTCTTCAGATAAAATTGTGTTTTATTAGTTTAAAAAACTTCTCTCACACTTTGTAAAGCAAACATTGAAAACAGCTTGGTTCACTTCTGAGACATCCCCGAAAGAATAGCAGAGACAGGGATGGGTCTTAAAAGTAAAAACGAGTAAGCAAAATTACATCTGTAAGACGATCACTTTAAAATGGGAACGATGAGATGACAAGAAAATCACATGAACAACTTTTAAACTGACAAATGCAATAAATAGTTGAATAGTCCATGGATGTCAGTAATACAAAGTTTATTATGTGCCAAGAATGCAGTATTTAGAGTGAGAGTCTCTAAGAAAACTCAAAGCTGTTCAGGCTGGTTCTTAGAATACTGGGTATGTGACCATCCATAAAACTGTTTCCAAAGTTTTTTTTGCAACTACACATCTCAATTCACCTTCAGACATATGAGTGTTGGCTTATTAATGGCTCAGAAAGAATATCGCACTTACCTCTTTGGAATGAAATTCTCTAGTCAGCTAGGTTAATCAGAGTCCTTTTATTAATCAGTGTAGTATACTTCAAGTACTTTGTTTACAGCCCACAACCACAGGTTCTTTGGTTGGTAGTCATATTTTTAATTAAAAAAAAAAAAAAAACAGCGAATGATTTCGCTGGAAAACTTTCTGGCAGGTATTCTATCTACTTTACTAAGTAACAACTGCCATCCAAGTATCTTAAAAGCTCTTATTTCTACTCTCTTAATGAATAATCTCTTCTTTACCTGATTTTCTTCTTTGCCAGAAATTCACTCTCATGCTCTCCTATTACCATCTCAGGGTTCTTTTCCATTCCTTGATGTTCAAACTTTTTTTCTTTTCAGTTTTACATGTCAAGCTTTTTTTTTTTTCCCCTCTCCTGGGAAAACGCTGAGATTTATCCTGAAAATACGAGCTATTAACAAATAGCCAAGAATTGTCTATAGTCTCTAATCCTTCAGAACTGTGTAAATACATGGACACAGTCAGAGCAAATGTCTGCTAATCCAGCTACAAGCAATGTGTGTAACCTTTGGCTGTAACAACAGAGGCTTCTCAGGCGTGGGTCCTTTGGACTCAGATAACATTCTAGCTGATAACTGTTGCAAGAGCCCAAGCTTAGCTGAGGTTTACCAGACATGCGTGCACCCCCAAACACTGGAGCGGGATCAATGCTTCCCAAAGATGGTCCAACCCCTTTGCCCCTGAGCCAGGGGGCTTTCTACTCAGCTGCTTAGACATCTCTCTTTGGTTTCTGATTTAAATTAAACACACATCAGAATTAGTCTGCAAACTTTTGTAGATGGTCAAACTTCTAAAATTCCTTTAGAACTTTCACCTACAAGTGATACTGGTTTGGAAGTGAACTGAATGTCATCTTCAGATTATCAAAGGCTATTTAAAAGATTTTGGGGAGACCAGAGTTTGAGTTGACCTCTGTCTGCTACCTACACAGACAGGGTACTTTATGCTAACTAATCCCTACAAGATATTATCCCAGTTATGAAGTGGAGGCTTCGTTAAGACGCTCTCTAAATCCTGTGCATGCCAATAATCTCCAACGTAATGCAGGGGTAACACACAGAGAATAGGTCATGGCCTGGGGAAGGTAAAAAGTGACTAGATCATCTGAATCCACATGGACACGGCCTGGACATGAGAGTTCTTTGGCATTTTTGTGTAGGAGAAAGAATGTGTGTTCTCTTTTCCTCAGCTAAGCCCTTTGCTCAGACAGAGTTCTTCTGCCGAGAGTCATTACCCCACACAGGCTGTGGCCCTGGGGTCAGAGTGTGCGTGGTTGACATTTAGGGGAAGCGGCAGGTCCTTCCCTCCCTCCCACCAAGGGCTTGTTCATAGGTTCTGTTCCATCCCGGTCCTTCGCGCAGTGTGAGCACAGAATCAAATGGCAGCCCTGGGCTCTGCAGAGGTGAGTGGGGAGGTGGCCTTTGGAAGACAAATGCTAAAAATAAATTCCATGCTGGGTTTGGAAGCTTGGGAACAATTCTGCTGTGGAAACAAGGAGGAGAGTACAAAAGGAATCTTCCTGATTAACCATATTTCTGTCATCCTGTGACTGTTGCGATTATATTTTAGAGGACAAATTCAGATTTCTTGACATATCAGCATGGGTACAAGTATGTTCATAGGTGCACATGGCTGTCATTTTTTAAAGATGGCTTTGCTTCAGGTTTGGTCCTCAGGGAGGGTAGGTATGGTGGAAAGGACACTCTTGCTCATTTTCATACTTGGTACACAGTGACCAGTGGCTGCAGCCTCCTTTTTAGGTGGTGATTGCATGTGAGCAGCCTCTTGGCTGTGAGCTGCTCCTGTCCCTGCAGCGGACTTCCCTGCTCTGCTCAGCATGGAATTATCCAGAACCTCCTCCCCTCACACCACCACCAAAGTTCTGCAACCCAGCTTCAAGATACCCTTTAGCAGACCGTGATCATGTCCACCAGTCTGTCTTCTTCCTACTTCTCCATCAGCAAACTAGGGGCAACAGGCAAGGTGACTTACTGCCACCCACCTTCATAGATTCCCATCTAAGAGAGGTTTACAATCCTGTGCAGGAAGTGGGCTGAATCCTGGGACCTAACACTCCAGCCCAACTTACCAGTTAATTGTTATAGGAGATGAAGGGGAAGCTGACTGAGAGGCCAAGGATGACTGATTCATGTAATAAATGGACAGGATAGATTCTCTGGGTGCTATTGGGAATTCAGGAAGAAGAAAAAAAATCAACAAGCAAATGCATTTTCATATCAGAGATGTGACTTATTATAGATGAATCTGGAATCCTTTCCTGCCTTGTGATTTGCGAAGCAGGCTTGGCACTAAACCCGTTCTGCTTTCACAAAGACAAAGATGGATGGGAATGCTGCACTGCAGATATCCCGAGTCCATTAGCTTGGACTGAGGCAGGAGACTTATGGCTCTAACAGGCTGAAAAAGTGGCAGTTTTCTCATCTGGAAAAATGAAAGATTTGGACTGGATAATCTTCCCTACAGCGCTAACATTCTGTGTGTCTTTGATTTTACATCACAATGGTGTTTTCTTAATCAGCTCTCTGCTGCTTCTTTTCTGAGGTCATTTTTCTTCCCTTTGCAGAAGCAGGCATGAGTTTCCAACCAGTGGCTGCGTAGAGCTGTCTAATCTTTGTTGCTAATTGGCAGGCAAAACACATCCTGGGTTGCAGATCTGGAACTAGCTTCTCTCCAAGACAGTTAGAAGAGATTGCCTTTGCAAATTGCTTAGTGAAGAAGTTTGAGTATTAAAATGGCTGACTGAGAGTATTAATATTAAATGTGACTCATTCATTATCAGATTAGGTTGCATATCATATAGTTTAATGATTTTGCTCAGAACACAGATTCAATGTACATAGTTACATTGTGTATATGGATATATGCACATATATTGTGTGTGCATATTTATTTATCGTACACATACAAGTCAGGCACATGGTGGGTAACCCCAGCTCAGGCTACCCATGACGCTATTTGTCTCTGCCAGGAAAAGTCCATATCACCAATTACTTTCCCTGCTCAGTGTCTATAATCTCAAATTAATACCTTAGAATTTAGTTCTATTTGTTGAATGTGGATTTCTACATAAATACAGATTATCCTAAGAGGGTCACACTTTAAACCATTCTCAGTTCATTAGATCTCAGTGTGAATTAACTTTGGATTTCTTTTTAAAGAGCAGATTTAGATAGTGGGAGACTTGGAAAGAAGAGAAAGCAAAATGGCCCTAGAATTCTGATGGGATTAAAAAAAAGGATTAAAGTGTGTGTGCGCGTGCACGTGCGTGCGTGTGTGTGTGTGTGTGTGTGTGCAGGTCAGAAGGTGGGCTGCAGGAAAATAAACTTTTGGTTGTACATGACCCTATAAATGGCCTCTTTAAACTAAATTATTTTCCCCTCTGGACAGGGAGACAATAGTTCAATTTTACTTATTTTTATAAATAATAATTTGTGCACAAGGTACTAAATTTAAATGCTCCAAGGAAACATTTAAGGACAGGTAAATCTATGGCCTGTGCCTTAACCCTCGGTAGGCAGAAGCCACCATTGTAACCAGTTTCTTGTTTTAGGTGTTTATAAATATACTCATATATGATAACATATTATGTACACTGTTCCGCTTCCTGTTTCTCTCCCTCAGTAAAATACATCTTGAGATCTTCCCATATCAGTATACATAGAACTTCTCCCTTCTTTATAGTGGCTTTATAGTACTTGATTGTACAGATGTACCATAATTTACTTACACAGTCTCCTACTGATAAAGATTGAAGTTGTTTGTAATACTTAGCCATTACAAACCATGCTGTAGTGTAGTGCACGTTGTAGTGTGTACTGTCTGGACCAGGTTGCCAGGATTTATAACTCCTGGGAACTTTATACCTTTTGCAAAGAGTTGAATGAAAATGGTGTTCCTGGGAGTTATGCAATACAGTTGCCCCTGTAGGGCATTTCACATATGAGTGGTTATACTTGCAGGATAAATACCCAGGAGGGGTGCATATGTAGGGTTTTGCACTTAAATGAGAGAATTTTAATAGCTGATCGCCAAGCCCACCTTTAATGGGCTATCATCCTCGGAGCGCCCTCCAGAGGCTCATCGTTGGTGCCCAGAAGTGTTCACAATAATCTAGATTTATTCTGACCTCATCTAACCAGTGAAGGACAAAACTTTACTTCTCTCGTTCTGGGCCCTGCACTTTTATTAATGTATCTTAAGATTGCATTATGTTTTTGGCAGCTCTATCCCACTGTTGGCGCATTTTGAGATTACTGTCAACTCAAATCCCCAGGTCTTTTCTCAAATAAATTACCATTAAACCATATTCTGCTTACCTTGTACGTGTACAGTGGAATTTTTATAACCTAAAAGCAAATCTCTGATATATCCACATTAAGATGTATTTAGTTGTTTCAGCCCTAGACTCTCTTCTACGTGTTGAGCTATCTCTGCATGTTCATCTTGTCGTCAGTATTTTATCTTTCTGTACCTATTTTTCATTCTCCACTCATAGTGAGCTTAATGCCATGGTTCTGTGTATTGATATTGAAAGGTTTATAAAGTTATTTTTGTTATAGCTTGTCATATATGGCAATTTTGGGGGACTTGGATAATTGGATTGACCCAATGTTTAGAAGTCAGTAGTTAGAGGGCAAAAGGACACACACACACACACACACACACACACACACACACACACCCCTCTTCTAACAACTAATAGGAAAAATTTATCTAAGATCTCAGTCTTTGCAACAACTCTGCTTCTCGTGAACAATTAATTTGTATATAGTTTGTGGGCATAGTTAATGGCATAGCATATGTTTTCCTGTTTATTTCCTGCTAGAAGTTCATAGGCAAATTCACAATGCAGTTCTAGTATATTAGATACGGTGTGTATTTTGTGTACCCATCTTACCCTTGACTTCTTTTTATTTTCCTGCTTTATTTTTTTTGCCCCATTTTCCATATTATTAAAAAGTTTAGCTTAAAGTTTGTGAGTTGCCTTAAATTCTTTTTTGGAAAAAGGTACTGCGTAAACTGAAAAACCGGCAAATAAAATCTTGGTGTGACACATTTTATAAAGACGTCAAATATATTCACACTTTAGATTGATGGCAATAGCAACAACTATGGAGGAAAGAACTGTGATAGGATAAAAATTATAAGCTTATAACTAACAACTTTGGCATCATTCAAGACAATGATTGGGATTTTTAAAAATTCTTAAATATGAGTCTCGCGTGACTCACCATATAAAATAAAAAGCAATCACGTAAATGAAGGTATCAAACTCAAATGCCGAGGAGAGTCAGGAAGGTCAAATAAGTAAAGAAACAAGATAACAGAGACTAGTAGAGATAGTAAGAACTCAAGAACACCCATCTCACTTAGTACATCCAAATACAACACTTAACACTTGTAGACACATTGGCTACCAGTTTATAACTTCAGAATCATCCCGCCCCAATTTTATAAATATGACCAAAGTAAAATACCTTGCAAAAATCCTCACAAAAGAGAAAGAACTCATGGACATGGACAACAGTGTGGTAATTGTGGGGGTGGGAAGGGGAGAATGGAGTGGGTGGAGGTGAGGAAGATATGGGGAAATAAATGATGATGGGAAAAAAAATTTTTTTAATGCAAAAAAATAAATAAGTTAATAAAATTCTCATGAAACATGGAGAAATCCTAGGCCAAGAAGGTAAACTTTCTTTCCCTTTCTTTTTCAGGTTATTGGTTGCCTAGCTATAAACTAAAGTCCTCTTGGGCAACAGGCCTGCATCTCTCTGTCTTATTTGGTCATGTGGAATGTCTGCTGGTGCTCCTGGACCACAATGCTACAATCAACTGTAGACCCAATGGGAAAACTCCTCTCCATGTGGCCTGCGAAATGGCCAACTTGGATTGCGTTAAGATCCTTTGTGACCATGGAGCAAAGCTCAATTGCTATTCTTTAAGTGGACACACAGCTTTACACTTTTGTACAACTCCAAGTTCCATTCTCTGTGCCAAGCAATTGGTTTGGAGAGGTAAGCCTTTCTGGGTGGATGACATTGTCATCTATTTGCACATTCATGGTTTTGAAACTTGGTGATCCTTACTTATTTCAGGCAATATAGTAGGTAACTCCACACATTAAGTCTAATTCATGGGGCCCTAAAAATAGTTAGATAGACAGATAGATAGATAGATAATAGATTGGTATGTTATGTTGGCCCACATTATTCAGTGGTGAGCTCATTAGAATCTTAATGTTATTTTTTTAATTATCAGAGACTTGTTAATTTACACATGTAATAAGTATTTATTTAGCTCCTGTGATGTGTCAGGTAATGTGCTACGTAAGCAAAAAAGAGAAACTAGTTTCTGCCTTCAAAGAGCTTATATTCTAGTAGGTGAGATAAATGTTAACAAAATGAATTAATAAATATGAAATTATAAATTAAGAAAGGAGCAAAACAAGGCGCTATGAAAGAATTCATGTGTGAACTATTACAAAATGTGTAAGATTTTTCTAAAGATATGATATGTAAATGGAACCTTTATAATGAGAAGTAGCTAGCCGTTACAAAAAATCTGAGAAGAAGAGTCTAGGTCTAGGAAATAGCATGTGAGCAAAATTGCTAGAAGAACAAAAAACTTGGAATATTCAACAAATGGAAGAAAGCCAGTGAGGCCAGAGCACCATGGTTGCAGATGGGACGGGAAAACAAGAGGGTAGAGGGCATGTCACCGGATGTGTTAGACCATATATAGCCCGCTGGAGACCCAGGTATGGGATTTAGAAATACAGCCACTGAAAAATTTTAAGTGAGAAAAAGATGTGGTTTACTTTTACATTTTATGGTTCTTGTGTTCTAAATGAGAAATCTTTCACTAACCCAAGTAACAAAGAGTTTTCTCTTTCGTGTACATTTCCTTATGATTTGTTGAAAAGACTATTCTTTCATCATTGAATTGCCTTTTATCTTTGCCAAAAAACAATTGGCCAGATATGTACGGGTCCACTGATATATGTTTTTTTCTTTTTCTTTTTTTGCTAATGTCCCACTGCCTTGATTGCTGTAGCTCCATATTATTTCTCAAAATCACTTCTAATCTACGAGTGAATCCTCCCAGATTAATTTAAACATAAGTTTCAGCTCTTCTTGGGGACATCAAAGTGAGACGTGAAAGACATACCTGACATAGAAATATGGATGTCAGAAAGGAGCTCTGGACTAAAGCTGTAAGTTTAGGAATTGTTGGCCTAAAGATTGTATTTGAAGCCAAGGAAATCAATGAAATCACCTAGATAAAAAGTGCAGAGAGAGTAAAGAGAATCTAGGACCAAACCCTGATAAATTCTTACATTTAAATGTTAACCGAATGGAGAGGAACGGGAAAATGAGAGTGAAAAGGGTTGATAAGTGAAGCTGCAGGAAACCTGGGAATATTTTCAGCATTACAGAGACTAAGAAAGAGGCAATTCAGAAAGGAGAGAGTGGACAGCTGTATTGACAGTTACTGAGAGGTTTAATTAGATATTCCTTAGGTTAAGAGACAGAGTTATCACTGACAAAAATGTTTTTGGTGAGATGGTGGGTGTTAAAGCCATGAGAATTGTAAAAGGTGTGAATGGGAGGTTAGAAACTAGAGGTGGCATATGTTCGTAATTGTTAAAAGAAGCCTGGCTGCAAAAGTGAGCATAAGAACAGCATGATTGCTGAAGCCGAGGCGGGGGTGGGGGGGGGGGGGGAGGGGAGGGAGGCACAGGAGAGTATACAGTTGGTGGTAAAAGGAAATGTTTGAATGCTGAAGGAAATGATTGCAGAAGGGAAACAGTTGAAGAGGCATGAGACAGGATAACTGAAAGGTCTAAATTTTTGAGAAGTGGGGACAGGATGAAATCGAAACACCATAAGACAGTCTCAATTTTAACAGATGGGCTAAAGTAAAAGATGGCTTTAAATACCGGAGCATTTATAGATCTGTTGCAATGAGGGACATCATATCTGATGACTTCCTCCCTCAATAATGTATGAGGCCAAGTCATCAGCCAAACATGAGAATATAAAGGGTGAGAATTTTGAGGAGAGAGGGGAAGGTATGGAAGGTCATGGGGAAAGGATGGGACAACAACGTAAAGCTTCCATGGTCTTCTCAACCTGTGAGAATTAAGGAGAAAACTATCAGCCCAGCTGATTCTCCTTCCTCCCACCTGAGATGGAAGGGCGCAGTGCAGAGACACCTGGAGAACGGTCGGCACCATCTGGTGGAGCTTTCCTACCCCAGCACATGCAGCTGTCACCGCCTTTCACATTTACTTAGGGATTGATTTTTAGATTTAGTTTTTATTTAGATTTTAATGAATGAATTAAACTTTTAAGCTTTTTATTTTTAGAAAGTTAATAAATGATATATTCGTTCAATTGTTGACATTTTATAGCGATGCTTTCATCAACCACAGGCTGACAGAGGGTTGCCAACCCTGTCACTGCTTAGAGGTGTTGCCACACACCTTTTCCAGAGGACACAGTCCTTTCCTGTCCCCTTTATCCCTGTCCACAGAGGGAGACTACTAGAGATGGGAAGGATTAGGCTGACACCAGTCAAGGAGAGAGAGTGGAAGTCCGTTAAAGAGACACATACTCTTTAGAGCCATGACATGAAAGGCCAAAGCCATAATGAAGAGAAAGCTAAATTAGATGAAGCAAAACTGTTCAATGTCTGTGTCGCGCACAGATCATGAAATTAAAAGGCCATCGTAAAATGGGAAAAATAATTGAGACTACATGACAAAGGGCTCATACCCTAAATATATATAAAGAAATCTTAAAACTTAAAGTAAGGAGGTTAACAATAAGAGGAGAAAAAACAAACAAACAAAAAACCAAGGTATTTCAGGGAAAGCAAACAAATAAAAACAAACAAAGATAACAATGATCATCTGCATTGCTAATCAGTAAAGTGTCAATTAAAGTAAAAATTAGATACTTTTGTTATTACATTACAAAAATACAAAAGATGTTAATACCTATGTAGACTACCACATAGGGAAGTGTTTTCACACACTTAATGATGTGTAAATGGGTAGGACAGGAAGGGCAATATCAAAAGCTTAAACCCTTTTTATGCCCTGGCTGGTGTGACTCAGTTGGTTGGAACATTGTCCCATCAAGCAAAAGGTCTTGAGTTTTGACTCCTGGTCAGGGCACATACCTAGTTGTTCAATCCTTGGTTGGGGTACATACAAGAAGGCGACCAATTGATGTTTCTCTATCACATCAATATTCCTCTCTCTCTTCCTTCTTCTGTCTCTAAAAGCAATGAGAAAATGTCTTCAGGTGAGGATACAAAAAAGCTTTAAACTTTTTTAGCTCAGAAGGTTCACCTCTGGTATTAGATACTATTTTGAGGCCCTTTGGCTCAGGGCTTTCAATTATGCAGGGCTTCAAATTCAAACTTCAAATGTTATCACCAAACAAGTTTATACATTGAGTCAAAGAGGTAATTAATGAGAGAGAAAGAAGATATTATCATATAACAGAATCATGCTGGTCACATGATCTATAGTACACTAGGAATTGAGACATTGTCCTAAGTTTGTAAAAGTCTTCAAAATAGTATAGTTATAGTGTATTTTATTTTATATATTTGCTTTAGAAGGTTTGATTTGTTGGAGTATATATTTAAAACATACCACAATTTAATTGGCATTTATTATTTTGCATTTGTTATTTTATATATTGGCATTTATTATTTTTAAAGATATTTAGAGTCTCAAAAATTGTCTGATTTCTTTTTGCCCTTATAAAGTCATTTACAGTACTGAAAAATTGAAAAATATTTGCATATCTAATAGAAAAATTTTGAGCTGTGTTATCTCCACACCGTACAGACATTACGATAATGTTGTCTAGGAATGGTCATTGACATGGGAGGATTTTTAAAAAGAAGGTTAGCCCTGGCCAGCGTGGGTCAGTTGGTTGGAGCATCGTCCTGTAACCGAAGGTAGTGGATTCAATTCCTTGGTCAGGGCACATGCCCAGGTTGAGGATTTGATCCTTGGTTCTGGGGGTGTATGGGAGAAAACCAATAGATGTTTCTCTCTTACATTGATGTTTCTCTCTCTCCCTTCCTCTCTTTCTAAAAACAATGAAAAAATGTCCTTGGGTGAAGATTAAAAAAAAAAAGAGGACGAAGAAGTTCAAAGGGGAGTATAAATTGCATAAACTTAAAAATTATATATGATCATGCATATTAGAAAATAATATGTAAATTGTCACGGTCAAATTTGACCTCATAGCTAATCATTAGCTGTAGCAAAGCACTTTGAAAGAGGAAGTGTTATTTTAGATCCTTACTCCTTGGATAATCATTTTTTTTAAGGTGGTGCCTGGCAAAGATTTAAAAAAAAAATTGTGAATCAGATAATTGGGGGAAATTTTACCCATGTTATGACTAGAGACATAGAGAAAAGATGAAGAGTGTCTGGAGCTGAGCCTGCTAGCCTGGAAGCTCTAGAAGCCTGTGAGCATCTTGCATCATTTCCTTTGCACTTTTATGTCTTCAGCCCCTCGAACGGAGCTTGGCACATCGGAAGCAGTCGGTAAATGGTCTCTGACTGATCTGCAAGTGGCTCCAGGAGCCCTGAGTGCATGGATGGGAATGACAGCCATCTAACAGATGGGAACTCGTACGTTCGTGGTTAATAAAATGCTGCTACTGGTCAGTCCTACCCTCTCAGCCTCTGGGGAGATAGCTGAGGGATGAGTTTTCTCCCTCTTGAATTATGTGGTAGGCATTTTGTGGAGAAGTCACATACATCACTTTGTGGCTGGACAGAGAGAGTTGAGACAGCCTACAGACAAGAAAAGAAATCAGGCTAACATTAAACTCGGGACCAGAGAAGTCCATTAGAGGAAAAACCAATGCCATGGCAACTGAAAACCAATGTAATTTCATTTGCTATTTAATGGGCTCTTTGTGGAAAAGTGCTCTTTGTGGAAAAGGCTAATTGAGGCCAAAAAATTGCATGCAATTTTCT